GAAGCGAGAAGTAAATAGAACGAAATGAAGAGAAAGACGCAAGGAAACGAAAGAACTAATCTTAATAAACTAAACCACGTGTCTCTCATTCCTTTCATTCCTTGTGTTTCGTTTCATCAAACTTAGCTCTTTTCACAGTTTCAGGTACTTGACTTCTGGAGCGTTGGGCTTTTGCATTGTGGGGGCGGACTTCAGAGGTTCGCTGTAATATGAGGCTTCTTGCACAAGGGTCGTCCGACTCACCACTCACATGATTCGTTTCCTCGCCTTGACGCAGCCGTCCATCAAAGTGTTGTAGACCAGCTCGTCACACTGCATCCCACAAGCCTCCCAGCAAGAGTTCTGGGAGAAGGGCTGACTGTCCGAAGATAACTCACGCTGTTGCCTTGATGGTGGCTGCTACCTGCAACGCTTTGTCCAGGTCTCCCACCTGCGGGAATGCACCAGGCTGGCTGGGACGTTGCGTGTGCCGGCATGGCGCGGATGAGGGGACTGTCTCCGCATGGAAAGTGAAGCAAGTCACAAGTCCACGCGATGCCAAGGGGCACCCCGGCGTCAGCTTTTCTGTGAGCCCCGAGCCTGGCAGTAGCCCTTCAAAAGGGTGGAGTAGGTGATGAGGTCCGGCCTGGGCCCAGGAAACCTCGCCCCGTGGCCCATGCCAAGTGGCGCTTGGCACCCGGCTGTACAGTGCTGCTTTCGGACATCATTTCCTGGAAAAATTCCTGAAGAGGGCGAGCTCTCCGAGCAACTCTCGGGGCATTTGGCAGGGGTGGCCTCTGCTTTTGCCACTTCGGTGCATTTGATGCAAACATCGATGATGGAGTTGTAAGCGATGGTGTTGTAGGGAACACCTGCGCAAGAAGGAGCGTCGGGCTTCCAGGGGTAGTGGCTGTTCCCATCACCCGCCTTCCTCCCTCATCTCCCGAAAGAGCATAATGGCAGTGTTCAGGTCCTGGGACCAGGACCGCCATGCATGCACACAGCTCTAATTAGCTAAAGCTGAAGCCACGAGTCCTTTTCGTTCCCATAGCCCTTGATCAGGGTCCTGAGCACCACAGAGGAACAAAAGTACACCAAGGAACTCGGAACCGAAGAAAACGACACGAGCTGGGGCGTCGGCGTATACAGAATCGTGTTACACTGCTTGTGCCGCTTCTGCATATCACGAAAGATCGAAAGCGCCTCCGGCAGCACAGGGGGCGAAACAGAGGGAGGGAGAGCAGCCACAAAGAGACAGAGAGAGCGGGTTTAGGAGTTTAGGGTTTGGGGTTAGGCGGTCCGTTTCGCTTTCAACCATGCATAAGGAACAAGTCGATAACATGCAATCAAAGTAACAGTGCCCGGGTGATTGCTCAGGAAGTTTGCATCTTGAGCACAGACAGTTCTTCGAGAAGTGAAACCCAGTCACTACTAACATTCTGTTGCTGCTACTGCTCCTGCAGAGAACCATAAACATCTTCATCATCAGAGTAGTCACAGCCATGGCGATCTCCATGTGGACGACTATAAGCTACTCCCATGCCACGCTAGCTCCGAGAACGCCTCTGCCTAGGTCAGTAGAGCCCGGCAAGCTGCCTTCTCCGTCTGGCTACACTTCACGCAGGCGTTGATCATGCAGCCATAGGTGACGGCCTCAGAATGCGCAGATGTGGAGATGTGTAGAGCTTCTGATCTATGGGATTGCTGCAGGAGGCGTTGCACAGCCAACGACGCTGGGCATGTTCACATCGCCTCTTGACAAACCTAAACATTGCGAACACTGGAGATCCTGGCGTTCGCCTGCTCCCGCTGCTCCACCATCTCGTCCCACAGCTGTACAACCTGAGGAATAGACCGCCATCATTAGTAGCTACTGTATGCTCACGATGCTTCCGGTTGCCTACAGCTCCGACGGCCCTGCAATGCTCGGATCTCCCCGGATTGATGTGATCCATTGCGTATGCGTTGTGAGGCGTCCCAGCCATGCAAAGCTTTCTCGGCCCTGACCCCGCCTTCTTGATGTCGCAAACCTGGCCGTATGCCTGCACGGAGGGAACCAAAGAGATGCAGCAGAGAAAGCCTATGTGAAGAAGAGTATGCTGCTCGGATCGGCTTGGCACGTATATCCGCGAGAATCGCGAGATGACATTCCAGCACTCTCCCGAGCCTTAACGAGGATCCCCAGCGTCACATGGGAGGGCTCCACGCCCAAGTCCTCCAACAGGATGGCGAAGCGAGAAGCGAAGCGAGGTGGAGCATAGCCGGGGTTTCACAGCTCCCGCCTTCATGCGCTGAAAAGTCGTCTCCAACTTGGCCTCGGAGACTTGTCCCCTCCGGTCCCCGGGATGGGTGGGTCCCCCCACCCACCCACCCACCCAC